TATCTCCAACATCATGTCTTTCACAACATGTAAAAAAAAAATTGACAAATGAAGATCAGTTTTATTTAATTTTTCCTACGACATTCAGGTAAATATTCAGGTTATTTACGATGCTTCAATCAAGCGAAGAATATGATGAAGTTCAAAAGAGTCATATTTTCAGCAACTATCAGACCGAAACACATTTGCTAATTCGCACAGATATATGCGCTTAGCACCCCTATATTACAAAGGTCATTGCCTACTGCTATATTATATATCAGTACGCAATGCTATAGGACATTGCTATATACCAAATTGGTACTGTGTTTCGTTTATCTATTGTATATGTGGGTTGACTGCGCTATATAGAATACAAACTCAATTTTTTTTTGTTTTTTGGATTTGACAGAAAAATCCTCCAGTACATAATGTCCAAGTCCACAATAGTCGTGGCGTATAATCCATGCACCGAACGCAGTTCCATGAATAACGGAATTAGCAACATTTTGTACGTAATGATGGTATAACCCAGTTGATTAACTCTTGGACCGAGTTAAAGCCCCTCCCCAACGCTGCCAACACTACCAACACTACCACACATGAACACCAGTTATATATACACCCCCCCCCCCTTAACCGTAGGAATGCCGTGCTATCTTCAGCATCATCTCCCCTTGGATGCTGGGACGTGGGATTCATCCCCGGCCTAATCATCCATGTAGAATAAGGTGGCGGAAAGGCAAAACATTGGGTCGTAACTCGTAGCCGGCAACAGTGCGAGAGAGCCAAGACCAAGGGCAGTAAAGGGAAGATTTCATGGCTTATGGCAGAAGGGCGGACGGTAAATTGCATCAAAGTTTTATTTTTCATCATAAGCCAAATATGAGAGCGCACTCAGGCATTGCGAGGGAGATTTTCCACATTCTAAAGTTTGGAGAAGAAATGATGTATGTTTGGGGATGCTTGTGTGTATGTGTGGTGTGTGTGTGTGTGGTGTGTGTGTGTGTGTGTGTGTGTGTCTGTATGTGTGTGTGTGTGGTGTGTGTCTGTATATGTGTGTGTGTGGTGTGTGTGTGTGTCTGTATGTGTGTGTGTGTGGTGTGTGTGTCTGTATATGTGTGTGTGTCTGTATATGTGTGTGTGTGTGGTGTGTGTCTGTGTGTGTTTATGTGTGTGTGTGGTGTGTGTCTGTATATGTGTGTGTGTGTGTGGTGTGCGTCTGTATATGTGTGTGTGTGTGTGTGTGTGGTGTGCGTCTGTATATGTGTGTGTGTGTGTGTGTGTGTGTGGTGTGCGTCTGTATATGTGTGTGTGTGTGTGTGTGTGTGTGTCAAGCTATATTAATTCCCAACCAAACACAAGGGGAAAAAAAAGAGCATCACCCCAGTCGTGATTTTGTCGAAAATTAACCTCCCTGTCGACAAAAACAAACAAATTGTCCTTATTAAACCCACTGGACAATTCCACAGACAGGATTATAATCACGAACAAATACAGTGACGCTGAACAAACACACCAGCGAATGAGCTTTAGATAACGGATAGCACGAGCAGAGACAATCGATACCAAGAACAAATACACTGGCAAATACGGACAAACACAGGCCCATATAGAGGCAAACACAGCGGGCAAACAGAGGCACAGAAAGAGGGGGACAAGCACAGAGACAAATTTGGACACAAATGTAAGAAAAACGCAGTAAACACACGACAAACAGACAAACACAGGGGAAAAAACAGCAGTGAGAAACATTGCTGCAAACACAGAAACAAGCACAGGAGTAAACAGAGGGACAAA